GGGGGGGGGGCTTGACCCACCCGGGCAGCTTTAAGGCTGGGGGACCCCAACTTGCTTGGCTGGGGGATTCTGGGAGTTGAAGTCCTCCAGGCCTAAGGCTGTCCAGGTGGGACATCCCTGGTCTAAGCAGTTGCCCAGAGGAAAGGGGGGGTTAGGGAGGGGGGGTGACTGTGGTCCTTCCTGGCCGTGAAACTCCAGGCCCCATGGTGCACTGCTGGAAGGAGAGGCTGAGCTGAGTGTTTGGAGTCCAGCGCTTCTCCCTTCCTTCCCTCCCTCTCCCTCAGCATTCTTTCTTTCCTCTCTTCCTCCTTCTCCACCATCCCTTCCCTTCCCCTTTTCCTTCCTTCCTTCCTTCCTTCCTTCCTTCCTTCCCTCCCTCCCTCCCTCCCTCCTCTCTCTTCCTTTCCTCTCTTCCTTATTTCTTCTCCCCTCTTCTCCCTCCCTCCCTTCTTTCCTCCCCCCTTCCCTTCTTCCCATCCATCCATCCATCCATCCACCCATCCTCCCATTCCTGTCCTGCCCTGCTGTGTTTGGGGGGTTAACTGAATGATGGAGCTGGAAGGGGCCCTTGGAGGCCTTCTAGACCAACCCCGCTCCCCCACCCAGGCAGGAGACCTTCGGCCATTCCGGACAAGAGGCTGCCCAGTCTCTCCTGGAGACCCTCCCGGGATGGAGCCCCCAGCGCTTCCGGGGGGGGTGCTGGGGGGGAGCCCTCCTTGCGAAGGGGGGGGGCTGAGGCCGCTTCTCTCCTCTCCCTCTGCAGGTCCAACCGGGACTGCCAGATCGACCAGCATCACCGCAACCAATGCCAATATTGCCGGCTGAAGAAGTGTTTCCGCGTCGGCATGAGGAAGGAAGGTGAGGCCGGCCAGCGGGGAGGGGGGGGCACTCTGGGGGGCTCAAAGGGAGGCGTGGGGGGGACGCGGGCTACTCCCAAGGGAGCTGGAGCCAGAGAGAGGATGAGGAGGGGGCATTGGGGTCAAAGGCCACCTGGGGCCAGGCAGAGCCATGCTGGATGCTGGAGACACCCCCCCCGCCCCCCCCCAGGACTCCCAATTGGAATAAATCCCCCCACCCAGGAGGGACTCTCTGGTGAAGCTGCAGTTCCAGTCCCCGCCAGTAGAGGGCGGCCTTTTGTCTCTGTACAGTGGGGAGGGGCTCTCAGGCCCTGATTGGACTTCCAGACCCTTCATGCCCCCC